GGCCCTCTTGGAGGCCCTCTGGGCTGCCTTGGAGCCATCTCGGGCGCCTTTCGGGCTGTCTTGGGCGGTCGGAAACCCAAGCAAGCGAGAACTTCACAATCTTTCAACACCCTAAGGGAAACCAATGGTTTTGGCCTCCGCGGTCTCTCCTGGAGGGTCTCTCGGAGCCCTCTTGGGCCGTCTTGGGGACCTCGTGGGGGCCCCTTGGGCCATCCTGGGCCATCTTGAGCAGTTTGGGTGTCGTCGTGGTTGTCGTGGAAGCCGTCTTGGAGGCCACCTTGACCGCCTGGAGGTCGTTTTAACCCCGCACGCGATGCAGGGGGGGGCGGCCCCAGAATACATTTGAAAAACATGTCCAGGGGGACCACAGGAGCATTCTATCATGCACACTCCGCGCAGACACGGTGGCGGATACATATACGTAGTTAGAAATAGTTCGCGCACCGAGTTCGCGACATTAGTTGGTGCCTCTGGAGTCCACAGGGGGGGCAGGATTTGTCCGCCTTTGGCGTTGCAGGCAGCTGTCGGCGAGTGGCTTCAGGCTCGTGCGTCAACTTAAGAACTCTAACTGGTAACCCTTTGGTCCAGACCTCCCTCCTGCAGGCTTTAACTGGTAACCCTTTGGTGTAGGCCTCCCACCTGAAGGCTCCGAGTGGTAACTCTTTGGTCCAGACCTCCCGCCCGAAGGCTGTGAAAAAAACGTAGCTAGAAATAGTTAGTTCCCCCAGCACTCATTCTTACCAGCATTCACTTACGACTGTGTTGCTCTTCCTTTCCTCCTCCTCCTCCTCCTCCTCCTCCTCGTCTTTCCGTCTCTCTCTTTCTTTTTCTCCCTCTCCCTCTCTCTCCCTCTCTCTTTCGCCAGCCCGACTGCCCGCGCGGCCACGCGTCATCGGGGCCTAGCTGCGGCGGCGGGGGACGCCCCGTCGTTCGCAAGCCGCTCAGTGGGCAAGCCCTTGTCCCGGGCTGCCAACCGGGGTTCCGCCGATCGGGGCCCTTTTTCCCACGCGAGGCGCAAAGAGAATTGGCGTATCGCCTGCTCATCACCCCGTCTTTGATTTCAGTCGCGCCAGGTGGTGCTTGTTTCAACATCCCCTGGTCCCACAGGTGTGCACCACAGCCAAGAGTGCGATGGCGGCCTCGGCTACCGCAGTAGCCGACTGCCGACGGGACTCCCGATTATTTGTCCGATATCTCTCTCTTTCTCTCTCTCTCTCTGTCCCAGAACGCAGGGTTTGCGATGCCAGGGGTGCGGGGACCCAGTGTTTCCATGGGGATGTTCGGGATTTTTGGAATGAGAAGTGAGGACGCCCCATGTATTATCAACTGTTCTGTATGATTCGGATTCTTCTCCCTGCAGGAAAAGTCGAAGCCAGGAGCCTTCTCAAGAGCTCCGGCCCCCAGAGTCCCCCCCCTCAGAGAAACATCCAAATGAACACATGGTTTTTCTTCACTTCCCATCGCCGACATCACAAGCATGTAGATGAGCACGCAGGGTTTGCGATGTCAGGGGCACGGCAACCTTGTGTTTTGATTTAGGTGAATTGGATTTCTGGGATGAGAGGTGGTGTTTTCATTTGCTTGGCCATATTTGGGATTATGGGGGCCGGAGCTCTTGGGAGGGCTCCAAGATTCGATTTTGCCAAAAGAATGGAAACACACGGCTTCCTCACGTCGCATCCCAGAAATGCCAGCCAACCGCATGAAAACACATGGTTTCCGCACCCCTGACACCGCACCCCTGTTGCATTTTCACTGGGAACGTGTAGGGTGTATGGGGAAGAGAAAGAGAGAGAGAGAGAGAGAGAGAGAGAGAGACAGAGACAGGGACAGGGACAGGGACAGAGACAGAGACAGAGACAGAGACAGACAGACGGAAGGACACAGAGAGACAGAGAGACAGAGAGACGGAGAGACAGAGACAGAGACAGAGACAGACAGAGAGAAGGAGAAGAAAGAGAGAGAGAGAGAGAGAGAGGAACCAAGAGAGAGAGAGCGAGAGAGAGAGCCAGAGACAGAGAGAACGAGAGAGGGGAGGGCGAGAGAGAGACAGAGAGAGGGAGAGAGGGAAAAATAGTGATCGGACCATCCGGGCGGAGTGCCGTCCACGGGCCCCGGCGGGGGCCCGCGCCCGGCACCCGAAAAGCATATGTTGGCCGGCGCGGCCGGCTAGAAAGGGGTCCTGCGCACAGCCGTCTTTGGGGCGGACGCGGCCAGGGAAGAGGCGTCGCGGCCGTCGCGGCCGTCACTTTTGCGGGTCCAGGCCCGTCGGTTTCGGCCCCAGGCCGCTTTCACTAAGGGGAGGTCTACGAAAGGGAGGTTTGTCCACCGCCGACCTATGGCGACGTGGCCCTCGGAAGGGCCTTGTGTCCTCTCGCGTGTCCTGCCCAATCAGTCACCACCTACCAAACCACCCCAACCCAACCCGAAGGCCCAGATTTATCCTCGATTTCCAGTGGGGGGGGGGGGTCGGGGGACGTTGAGAAGACACGTGGTATCCGTACCCCCCCCCCCCCAACCCGAGATTCGGGTCAGATTCGGGTCTTCGGGTTGGGTTGGGGTGGTTTGGTAGGTAGTCAAGGGAAGACGAGAGAGGGAGGGGGCGAGAGGGGCCCCTCCCGGGCAGAACACATGGCGGGGCTGTGACGTTTGGGCTAAGCGAGGCCTGCGCCGGTCTTTGGCGTGGCGGTGCCTCGCTGGGAGTGGCGGCGCAGCACCCCTTTCAGGACCCGCAGCGGCGGCGGGCCTCTCTGGACGCTTGCCAGGCGGCGCACGGGCCTTGGTGAGAAGCTCAGCTGAGGGTGCTCCTGGCGAGGGGTAGGTGGTCCGATGTGGACTGGACGCGCTTGAGTGGTCGCGCGAGCTGCGCGATCTCGATGGCGTCGGAAGGCTTGGCCTTGTGGGGGAAGGGCGCTGCCTGAGGCAGGCCTTCTCCCCTGGGAGGGGAGGCCTGATGCGGCCCCGTGCTGCCGATGTTTATTGCCGTAGGGCCAAGGCTCATCAGCAAGGCGCAGCAGTTGGCTGAGCCGTCTCCGACGCGCCGTGGGTGGAGCGCTGAGCGGGGTCCCTGTGGGCGCTGGTGGGGGCCTCCAAGGGCGTTGCCGGGCTTGTCGCGTGCGGCATGATCCCGTCCGCTCGCTGCAGAGGCGGCGGGGCAAAACGCCTGGGGCCCGGGGTCCTCGCGAGGAGGCTGCGTCAGGGCCTCTCAGTGGAAGCGGGGCCTGGCGGAAGAGGGCCGTGCCCGAGGCAGGCCGCTCTCGCCACGAGGGGGAGCGCGACGCGGCCCCTGAGCGCTTGGGCCACTGGGTGCGAGGCGACGGTGATCCGAGTGGAGGCCCGCATTCCCGCCGGAGCGGGCGGGGTCAGGGTCACCCGCGGGCCCCTGGGCGGGGGGCCCCCTGCGGAGGGAGGCGGCGTCGGCCGTCGGCAGCGCCGCGCATGCGTCCGAGGTGTCGAGGGGGCAGCCTGGGACGGCGCGGTGGAGGCCGCGCCTCGGCAGCCGCGGCGCTGACCTGTAGAAGAGCTCGGGTGGCCGCCACTATCTGGTCGGCGGTGCGCGGGGGGGGTGGTCCGTGAACCCGTGTTGGTAAAGCTGTCGCTGGCGCCGCGGTGGCTCGCACCGGATTGGTCAGCGACTGGGGCACATGGTGCCATGCTCCGAGCGGTTGCTGCCTGTCGCGGGGCCGGGGCTCGTCAGCAGGGCATTGCGGTCAGAACGCAGAGCCGTTTCCGACGAGAGAGAGAGAGAGAGAGACAGGCAGAGAAGAAGGGGGAGAGAAGGAGAAAGAGAGAGAGAGAGAGAAGCAGATAGAAAGGCAGAGATAGAGAGAGGGAGCGCGACAGACAGTCAGAGAGAAAGAGAGAGGCATAGAGAGAAACGCAGAGAAAGAGTGAGAGAGAGAGAGACAGATAAAGACACAGAGTGAGAAAACATTGAAAAAGAGAGAGAGAGAGAGAAAACAAAAAAAGAGACAGAGATAACGAAAGAGAGAGAGAGAGACACACACAGGGATAGAGAGAGAGACACAGAAAGAGAGGCAGATTCCATATCCAGCCGATTACAAGCATATGCTTCATAGAACACAGTTGAAATTTCATTGGGGTGGGGCGGAACCCAGTTTCAGTTGATTCCACTTAACTCCGAATGGGACCGAATAGTCCCTGATGAGATTTGAACAGATCCTAGCCACTGTCGGTTCATAATGGATTCCTATGGGGATCTGCTCGGGATCGATCTGAAATTGCAGATCCCAGGTCCAGCTGATTCCGCATACATTCCCAGCGGCATCGAATTCAATCGATTTCAAAGTCAGCTGATCCCATATCCAGCTGATGGCAAACAGATTCCGAGTTGGATCTGCTTAGAATATTTTTGGCATGGAGCAGATTCCAGATCCACGTGATTCAAAATAGATGCCGCTTGGAATGTGATCATCATCTAATTGAAATAGAGCAGATCTTCCTCTGATTCGGATGTGAGTTCTACTGTCATTCAATCCGAATGACATGGGGACTGGGTACATCCTGACTCCAAGTGGAATGTCGATTGGAATCAGATTGGAAGTGAGCAGCCTACAGGTCCAGCTGATTCCAAATCGACAGCTACCGAACATGAAATTCGAATCCAATTGGCATTGAACAGATCCTGGACCCACCTGATTCCAACTCGATTCTCATTGGAATCGACATAGAATCTAGGTGAAAGGGGTCAGATCCCAGATACAGCCGTTCCCAAGTGGATTCCAATTGGGATCGAATTCACATTTGTCTGATTTGAATTTGATAGATCCAGGCCTCGCTGATTTCAATTGGATCCTCATTGGAACATGGTTAACGTTTAGTTGGAATTGAACAGATCCCAGGTCCAACTGATTCCAACTGGATTCAGATTGGATATCTACTGCGTGCATGTCTTTCCACTGTGTCACTTGGTCCAGGCCGTCGATGCTAATCGCTTCCGTGGGTTTTTGGGCTCAAGAATTCGCAACAAGGCAGTGCGAATGGATTATATTTGGCCTGCTGTCCAGTACGCCTGGCAGGGGGCACTCGCTTACCTGTGGGGCGGCAACCTCCAGAGGTGCCCGTCCGTCTCGATCCCGCCGTGCCCGGCGATCCCGCCGTGCCCGGCGATCCCTACGTGCCCTGGCTGCCCGGCGTGCCCGGGCAGGAGCCTTGCGCCTGCCAACCCGGCGCCGCCGGGTGGCGAGCTGACCACCGAGGCGTCGTCCTCGTCGTTCTGGATCGTGGTGCTGGTGAACGAGCTGCTGCTCCTGGGCCTCGCCGGCTGCTACTTGTACTACTCCTGGGACTGGGTGACCTCGGGCTGCCGTCGTCGCGATGCTGGCAGCAGCGAGCGTGGCGCCGCCGGAACCGGCCCCAGTGGGGGTGCTCCAGTGGGCGTGGGTACGCTACGAAGGAGAGCAATTATGGCACCAGCGGCTGATCTTGGGGCGTCGGGTGAGGTACCACATTGAGCGCGTCTCTCGATGGGTGTTTCTCATATGCACCGTGGACACGGACATCTACGAGGAGGACTACTCGTGCGAAGGGGCCGACATCATCGCAGTGTGGTTCGCCAGCGACGGTGCCACCTTCCCTGCTGGCATCCGAGCGTCGTACCGCTTCAGGCGGAACCTGACGGCTGGGGAGCAGCAGCAAATCGGCCAGGCGGCTGCCGGCCGACCACTGACCACCAGCGGCTCCACCTGCCGGCGCCCGGCGGGCCGTTTTTGGTCCCGCTGCCCTTCGGGCCGGCGCCCCAGGCTGGCCCAGGCGCAGGCGCCGCTCCGGCCGCAGGAGCCGCGGGAGCCCCGCTGGCCGCTGCCCTGGCCGCTCCCAGCGGGGGCCCCGCCGCGCCCGCTGGCGCGGGGGCCCCAGCCGCGGCCGCTGCTGCGCCCGCGCCCGCGCCTGCTGGCGCGGCGCCGGCGGCCGCACCTCCGGCGGCGGCCGCGGCGGGCGGTGGGGCTCCAGCCGCGGTCTGGGCGCTGGTGGAGTCGACGACCGCTGGCCAGCGTGGGGCGGTGGTGGCACCGCCGGCGGGCTCGGAGCTGAAGGGCCCCATCGGCCTGATGCCGCTGAACGATGGTTCGTGGGTGGCTATCCGCTCAATCACTGGATCAGCGCAGGAGTACGCGGGGCGGGAGGCTGCCGCTGACGCTAGGCTGATGGGCATCGTGCCGAACCCTGTTCCTGGAGGGCGGCTGCTGCGCCAGTGGCGAGACGCGGTGGCCAGCTTCACCGAGGAGACCTTCGTGGACTGGTACATCCCTGGGCCGCGCACATGCACGTGGCGTTGCAAGTGCATCGACAGGCGGCAGGGCGGACCGCTCGATCACTTTCGGTTCTGGAAGTTGACCTTGGGCCTGTCGTCGGACGACTATACGGAGTGAACGACTACGAGGCTGGCACGCGGGCTATCTACACGATGGCTTGCTGGGATGGGCTCGACTTGCCAAACGTAGCAGGTGCTGAACAGATCCTTCGGAAGTGCCAGATGTATGTCATGGACCGAGACCCTCACCACGCGAGCGCAAGCGCCGGTGACGGAGGTGGCGAGGGCGGCGACAAGAAGAGGGGCCAGGGCCGCGGCCGCGGTGCTGGCCGCCATAGTCTCTTCAGCTTCGGGTTCATCGACGAGTGTTGCTTTCACAGGTCTCAGCCGGGACCATGGCGAGAGCATGATCTGCCCCCTGCTCGTCGAGCACGCGGCGAAGGAGGCGGAGGAGGGATGCTTCGGTGTTGGAGCAAGTGCGCGAAGCCCGCGAGGAGCAGCGGGCCTTGCGGCTTTGACGCTGCTCCTGCCACGCGGGCCGCTTCCCCCCGGCGGTCCGTGCGTCTCTGGATGGGGGGCCCAGCGGCGGTAGCCCGCCGCTCGCTGGCGACGAGAACTTCGAGGGTGCAACTGGAGGTCGACAGCGAGATCTTTTTCCATTGCCTCACGTTCTGGCGCGCCCGCTGGCACGCGCTGCTCACCATCCGAGCCTCGCCCGCCTTCGGGCACTGGGCAACTGGCTCGGGTGGCAGAGGGCACCTGCTTGCGGGCGCACAGGCCCAGGGCATCGTTTGTACACGCTCGGTGGCTCGTCGGGAACTTCGGCGAGGTCATGTTGACCCGATGGTGGGCGAGGGTGTCCGCGCCCTCAACAACCTGCGCGTTGGCCAACCTCGTCGCCCTGGCGGCCTCCCTCAGTCAGTCTCTGCGGGTCAGCAGCGCGCCCTGGACTGCGTTCGCGACGCCGCCCGCCCGTTCGGTGGGCCCCCGGATGGGGCTGACTGGCTGAGGAGCCCTGGAGGAGCTCCGAGTTCTCAGCGAGCATGCTGGCGAGAGTGCCACCGTCGCTCCGCTCGACTCTGATAATATCAACAGCCCCTCACTCCCGGACGAGGGCTTCAAGCCTGTGCCGCTTGACACGCTGGGCGGAGATGCTGGCCGTAAGATAGTCGAGCGGCTTTATGATATGATGCTGCCCCAGTCTGAGGGTCGCGCTCGGATTCAGTCTGAGAGCCCCTGGAAGCCATGCGCCGACCCGGCGCTGAGGAACCCGAGGTTGTACGTCCAGCTCTTGCGGATCCTCGAGCGTCGGAACCTCATCGACTACGCGCTGGCAAGACCTGCAGCGTGGGTGTGTTCTTCACTTTTAAGAAGTCGGGGAAGCTGCGGCTCATCCTGGACGGCAGAAACGCGTCGCTGCGCTTCCAGGTCCCCGACAAGGCGGCCCTCGTGTCCGGCGCGAGCTTCGCTGGGCTCCACGCGGGCGGCGGCAAGCTCATCGTTGTCGGAGGTCGACCAGGCCGACGCCTTTTACACGATGCTGCTGCCGCCAGTGTTCCGGCGATACTTCGCGCCGAGGGCTGCCGCGCTGGCCAGCTGGGGCTCGACTGTGCCGCAGACGGCCGCCAACTGAGCGGCGCGGGCACGGTCTACCCATGCTTGTGGTGCCCGCCCATGGGCTGCTCCTTCAGCCTATGGATATGTCAGGCGATGCTGGAGGGCATGGCGTTGAAGGTGCCCCAGCGCAGCTCTCCGACTCAAACCGTTTCGTGGGCCGGCAGCCGGGGCCGCAGGCGACGGGAGCCGCGATCCACGCAGCGTGCGTGGACAACGCGCTCAGCCTCTCGACCGACGAGGGCCGTCGACGCTCAGCTCCGAGCAGCGGGCCTCCCAACCCACGGAGTCGAGTGCAGCATTGGCGCCGCGGCGCTGGGGTGGCAGTTCGTCGAGAAGTTCCCGATCATCGGGCTAACCCGGCGCTGCGCTGGAAGTTGAGGCGAGCTTTTTCTGGAGCTGTGCCGGAGGGGGTTCGCCCGGGGCAAGACAATCTCACGCGTGGTCTCGCGCTTCACGTCGCGGGCGCTGATCCGGCGCGAGCATCTGTCCTGCCTCAACTCGCCGTGTGCCTTTTCCGCTCAGTATGGAGGCCGCACGGCCCGACTGTGGCCCTCCTGCTTGCGCGAGCTTCGTTGGTGTGCCAGCCTCGTCGTCTTCTGTTTTCGGGGCGCTGGCGCGGCGTTCGACGGCGGACTCACGATGGTGGACTCGTCGTGGTGGGGGATTGGAGTCACGCAGAAACGGCCTTCCCCAGAGGTTGCTCATGGTTTCCACGACACCATGAGAGGTGGAGGTTCAGCGTTCGTCAGCAATGCGAGGTTTCTCATCGAGCTCATGCCTTTAAGGCAACCGACCCCGCCGACCCTTTCGTTTCGGAGTCGAACATCGGCGCTGACAAGTTCGAGGGGGCGAAGTCCCTGATCGAGGTGGAGGAGGAGTACGAGGACATGATGGAGGATGAGGAGCTCGACTGCCCGAAGGAGGCGGGGCCCGAAACCCGAGAAAACCCACTTTCCGAAAGTGTGTTTAGCCCCCCCCCGAGAGGTGGAGACCGCGGACGTAAAGGAGGATGAGGAGTTCCCCGGAATCCCGCGCGACGTCTGGGCGAGTGGATGGCACCCCGCTGCATCCCATCGACGGGGTCGTTCTGTGCACCAGGTCGTCCTCGAGGGCCGGGGTGTGGTCGTTGCTGTTCGTCGCATTCTTCGGCGCCTATCGTCATTCAACCGCTGCAATTTGTGCTTGGGCGACTGTCTGGGTGCGATCCTAGCCGTAACCAAGAGCCGCTCGTCGCGGCGAGAGATGAGCCGCGTGCGTCGGCAGCTGGCGGCCCTTTCGCTGGCTAGCGGCGCGGCCTTCTGGCGCTGCGTGCCCTCCGAGAGGAGCCCCGCGGGCCGCGCCTCGCGGAACTTGCCGGGGGTGGGCTATGCTACGGCGGCAGCAGGGCCGAGTTGCTCTGGCGGCGGCGCTGCCTGCAGCAGCCTCCGCTCCCTCGCCGGGGATCGCCCCGGCGCGGAACACTCTGCCTGTGGCCCCCCGCCCGGCCTCGAGGAAGAGGCGCGCTGGGGCCCCGAGTGGACGGGTCGCTTCCTCGGCGAGAGCGAGCTCCGCAGCGGCGCGGCCGGCAGCCGCAGAGCCGCTGGAGCGCAGCGCCCATGCGTCGCGCCGACGGGCGAGGCACCCGCTGGGCGTGCAGTGGCGAGGGAGGCCGCGGCAAACGGTCACTCCTGGAGCAGAAGGCGGTGGGGGACAAGACAGCGCTGGACTACCAGATACGGTGCCATGCCTTCCTGCACTGGGCGGCGGCGGCGAGGCCACCCGTGGCGGCGATCCCGGACCTCGAGGAAGCCCTCCTGGAGTACTTCAACCAGCTGTACTTCGCGATTCGCCGGGCGGGGCGAAGCTGGCCGCGGCGGTGGCCCACTTCAGGCTGGACCTGATGCCGAAGCTGGCCAACCTGCCCCGGGTGCAGAGGGCGCTCACGGGCTGGAAGGCGCTGGCGCCCCCTCGGGCGCGCCTTCCCTTGCCGTGGTCGGTGGTGGCGCTGATGGCGAACTGGATGGTGTCGAACGGGCTCGTGGCGGCTGCGCAGACCACCGCGTCGACCTTCACCCTGTACCTGAGGCCGTCGGAGACACTGTCGCTGCTGGTCGGGTCGTTCGCGCGGCCGGTGAAAAGCGGACCGCGCCACCTGAGCAAGGACTCGGCCCTGCTGTTCCCCGCCGAGCTCGAGGCGAGGTCGAAGACGAAGGACTGCGACATAAGCCTCTTGCTGGACAACCCGGAGTTCGGATGGGCGGATCGAGTGCTGGACCGCCTCGTGGAGGGCCGCCCGGCCGACGCTCCCCTGTTCGCCCTGGACATGAGGTCTTGGGTGCGGGCCTTCCAGCGGGCCAGCGCTGCCCCGGGTCTGGAGGCCCTCGGCCCCCCCGTGCTCTACCAACTTCGACGCGGGGGGGCCAGTCACGAGATGCCGACGCACGCCTGAGAGTTCGGGGACATCAAAAAGCGCGGCCGCTGGGAGGCCGACCGGAGCCTCAAGAGATACGCCAAAGGAGGACGAGTACAAGAACAGCTTCAGCGCCCTCGGCCTCTCTTGCAAGCTCAGGCCCTCGGCTGCGCCGTGACTATTGGCAGCGCCCTACGCAGAACCGGAGCAACTGGGCCTGCGCGGCCGACTCCAAGGTGCACCTGGAGATCTTCAGCGGCTCTGGCAATTGGTCTAAAGCGCTGCGGCGTGGTTTGGCCTCGCAGCTGGCGCCGCGCGTCTTCGAGCTGGACGTGGACCGCGAGCCCGTCCTCGGCGACCTCGGCCGACGACTCGCACAGCGCGTGGTGCGCGGCTGGCTCCGCGGCGGCCTGCTGCAGGGAGTCTGGCTGGGGATGCCGCGCAGTTCCTGGTCGAGAGCACGGAACCGGCTCAACGGGCCACCGGCCTTGCGAGATGTTGATAACCTCCTTGGGTTGCCGAACCTTTCGTCTTCTGATGCGCTCGAAGTGATGCTCGGAAATCGTCTGTCGCAGTTCCCATTCAGTCTTTTTCTTGAGTGTGCTCGGCGAGGGATCCCAGCTGCTATCGAGAATCCTGCGCCCTCGTGGTCATGGCAGACTCGCTGGGCACAGCATCCGTGTCGGCAGCCAAATGTTAAGATCATAGACTTTGATTTCTGCGCCTTCGGCACCGCTTGGAGAAGGCGGACTCGCGTGATGCGTGCGCATTTGAACTTGGACGCCTTGAGCAAGCGTAAGTGCACAGGCCGTGGGCTCTGTTCCTTCTCACACATGCCCCATAATGCGCTGGAGGGCAGGACGCCTTCCGGCGCCCTCTGGGCGAAGATTGCCGAGCCCGTCGAACAGACACTGTCGAGATGCTGGCCTGGAAAAGAGTGCTGGGCTGGGATATCTGATGCGCGCGTGTCTTTCCCACCGCGTCACTTGGCCCAGGCCGTCGATGCTAGTCGCTTCCGTGGGTTTTTGCGCTCAACCCAGCCCGCCCACCCTTGAGCCTGTAAAGATGCTCCAGTCTGTCGCCTGAGAGGACGCCTTGATTGTCTCTGGCCTCGCGTCCCTTTCGGCCGCGAGCAGCTGCTGTGCATCGAGGCTGGACAATGCCGTCGAACAGACACTGTTGAGATGCTGGCCTGGAAAAGAGTGCCAGGTTCGGAATCACATGAACATTCAATTGAAATTGAGCGGATCCAAGATCCAGCTGTGTCCAAGTGGATTTCTATGCAGTTCGAATTCGAATCGAATGATCATCGAGCAGATCCCAAATCCAGCTGATTCCAATGTGATCCCAGTAGGAGACGAATCGGAAATATGGACAAGCAGGCGCGGATGAAACGAAGGCGAATGACCAGTAAGAGTACGAATGGAGGGCTCAAAGACCGATTCAACATGAATGGGTGTTGGGGGGGGTTGCGCCAATAGCCTTTGCTCACGGATCCATCTCTCTCTCTCTCTCTCTCTGCTTCTCTCCTTCATGTCGCATCGCGGTGTCTGACTGTTTTCCCCCGCATCTCAAGCAAGGGTGGAGGCAGTTTGACGCTACCCCCCACTGCAAGATCCCTCCCCTCCGTCTTTCCCTCCCTCCTTTTGCACGGTATTCTCCGGCGGCGGAGGACGTGACAGGGCGGACAGCCTCCCGCCCGGAAGGTGCGCAGAGGGACGCCCGCGGTGAGGCGCCCTGCCAAGTATGACGACCTGGACCCCCAGAGAAACGAGGCCCACGTCGGCGCGCCGCCCATCAGCCCAGGGAGGAAACACGGCATCAGCAGCAACTTTCGGAGCTCCGCGCGGATTTCTTGGATCGGCCTGGGGCCCCCCTGGCAGCGCCTGCGGCGCCGCCCTCGGCGCGCTCCGCGCGCCAGGAGGGGGGGGGGGTGTTGGGGAGGGTCAACACCGATCCAAGGAATCCGCTCGGAGTTCCTAGAGTTGATTAATCGCTTCGCTCATCCCGCCGGCCCGTATGGTGCCCTCGCAGTCGTTTGCCTGCGCGCTCGTGGTCTCTTAGGGCCTCTTGGGGGACCGTTCGGGGGCCTCTTGGGGCCTCGTTTTGGGCCTCCTGTTGGCGGCGTCGTGTGGTGGCCTCCAGGGGGCATCCTGGGCTCTCTTGAGGGCTTCTTGGCGCCTCGTGGGGGCCTCTTGGGGCGAGTTTATATGTGTGCAACGTCTCGTTGCTCTATAGGCCCTTCTCGGTTTCCAGGGGACTCGCGCGAGTACTGGGGAAGCATTGATTCTGCAGCTGCGGAGCACGCGCACGCGGGTCCGCGAGCCAGGCGGCCCGGCCCGAGAGACGGCATCGAAGCATTGAAGCCCTGGAGCGGAACAGAAAGGGAGAGGAGGGCGGATTTGAGAGGGAGTCCGAGGAAAGCAGGGGCAAGCAGCATGTCGCTGGAAGGGAAGGAAATCGGCGGCGAGCGAGGTGGGGAGTGAGAAGGAGGAGGCCGTCTCAGAAGGCGGCGGGACTTCTCAGAAGCCCTGTGGTCCTCTCAGAAGCTTCTGCGACTTCGGGGAAGGCTTTGATAATTTCTCAGAAAGGCCGGGGGAGTCCTCCTCCCCCATCTCCCTCTTGCTACGTAGCATGTGCTGGTCCCCCCTTCCTGCGTCCCCCCTTTTCCTGTACCCCCACATCCTCCTCATCACAGTGTGGCGGGGCGAGGGTGCCGCTGGCAGTCGTCCGGCCCTCTCCCCTGGCCAGTCCCGCTGTCGACTGGAGCAGGCCGTCCTTCCATGGGTTCGGGCAATGCTTACTGGGGGGGGGGGGGCGATTAAGGAAGCAAGGGGGGGGGGGACGAAAAGAGGCGCACCTGCTGCGCACCTGTTCAGGGGCCCGGCAGGGCCGGGCCCTCTGTGGCCCACGAGGGGCCCGAAGGTGCGCGTCCCTTCGCCCCCTCGCTCGGCCGCTCCCCTGTGAAGCAGCGCCTGGTGGGCGGCCTTACGTCGGGCGTGTCCCTCTGCAGGAGGAGTAGTCAAAACGAGGCAAAAAATAGTGTGGGCCCAACTTTTGTTGGTGGTATGGTTGACCCGTTTGGGGGTATGTTTTACTGTGTTTTATTTTTCGTCCAAAGTCCGCCTGCAGGAGAACATGCCCGACCTAAGGGCAGCCGCTGGCGCTGGCACAGCCAACCCGCACAGTAAGGATGAGCGGCTTTCCGAGGTTGCCCTTGCATCCTTCCCCTTCGACCCATCCTTGGCCACTCTGGCCGCGCCCCGCTCGCAAAGTGTCGACATGGCCTTCCGAGGCCCTTGCATCCTGATCGTGCGTCCTTGTCCTGCGGGTTGGCTGCAGGCGCACTTCGCGCAGCAGGCAGCCGCTCCTCCCGCTGGGAGCCCCCTCCCCCAGCGGCGATTGCGCCGGCGCTTCTGGCAGGAGGCCGTCGACGCCGACTTGGGACGAGGCCTGCTCCCGAGTGCGCGGCGGCGCCTCCTCAGCAGCACTGCCGACGCGTCGGCATCCGCTTCGCCCTTCTCTCCTCCCCTTCTTCGCCAAGGGGGAAACGGATCCAGAGGTCGGCCGTGTTCGGGCTGTTGGTGCCCTCTACGGGCCCCGGGACTGTCAGGAAACGACTCGGGATGAAGAACTCGTCCTGGGGGGAGGCTCCGGGGTACAGGACCCATCTCCCTCAGGACCCGTTTCCCCCATGCCAACCTTCCCCGCGACACCTCCCCGTCCGGTCGCCTCGCCTCCATCCCCTCGTCCGCTCCCGTGGTCGTGCCACTGCCCCCTTCCTCCCTCCCCACCTCCCCCCTCAGCTCGCGCTGCTCTCTGCCATCCTTTCCCCCCGTCCCCTCCTGCCCTTCACCGACTGCAGGTTGTGCCGCCCCCGAGGACCTCGACCCCTAGCTCGTTTGGAGTTTTGTTTGATTCACGTCGAATGCGGTGGCACCCTTCCAGCCGTTGCCGAGCTCCCCTCGGGCACGCGGCCGAATGACCGCTCCTCCCGCAGCCCGCGCCCGCCCGCGCGCAGACGTTCCTGGCCAAGGTCGTGCCCGGCTTCGAGGAGCTGCCGGTGACCCTGCAGCTGATCATCGAGCTCGCCCTCTCCGCCGCGTTCGTCGTGCTGGCGGCCTGGCCTAGCCGCGGCCGAGCGATCTGCGCGGGTCGCCATGAAGGAAGTTGGTCCTGAGGGGGTCCTGAGGGGAACAGGCCTCGAGGTTTTTCGCCGTTCTCGGCTTCCCGGGGCCCTCCACGGGCCCTGGGACCTTCAGACGGTTATTCAGAACGGAGAACTGGTCCCGGGGGAAGGAGCCCTGGGGTCCAGGACCCCTGTGCCGCGTTGGCGTCTCACGACGCGTCGTCCATCTTCGAGCCAGGAGTGGTACGGCGCATACTTTTTCGGCCCTCGGGGCTGGAAAACTATGCACCGTACCGCTGTGGAGCGAGGCCTGAGGGGAGTCCAAGCACACTGCGGTGCTTGAGCGCCGTTCTCGTGCTCAGGACCCTGTTCTTGCATGCCAAGCGGGCGGCCGCGGAGGGTAGCGTCCCCCGCGTCGGCCCTGCCTCCGCGTCGGCCCTGCGCGGCCGCCGGCAGCCTGATGCCGCCCTCGGTTGCCGAGTGGAGCACGAGGCCTCCTCGTCATGCGCATCCTCGTCTTGCGCCTCCTCCTCATCCTTCTCCTCCTCCTCCTTCCTCCCTCCCACCCTCCTCCTCCTCCTCTTCCTCCTCCTCCTCTTCCTCCTCCTCCTCCTCCTCCTCCTCCTCCTCCTCGTCTTGCGAGTGGAGCACGGGGGCCGTGAAGAAAAATCCCCGACGAAAGAAAGACACGGAGTGGTGGTGGTGGTGGTTGTGGTGGTCGTCGGTCTCCCGTCAGGGTCAGCGGCACCAGACGTGAGGCCCTCGCAATACACGGAGTGGCAGATGAGTCAGATTTCGGGGAACAAGCGATGACGTAAGCTCAGTTTCGCGCGGATGTTTTGGATCGCCGTTGGGCCCCCTGGCGGCGCCTCCAGCGCCGCCCCTGGCGCGCTCCGCGCGCCAGAGAGGTGGGTCCAGTGCCGGTCCGAGAAATCCACGCGGAGATCCATGAGTTTATTATGTTTTTCTTCCTCTAGCGAAGAAGAAGGACGAGGCCGGCAGCTTCTCCCCGTTGGGGACCCTAAGGCCCTAGCGCATCGGTGTGCGGCGCCACGGTTGTCGCAACGAGATGGTCTCGGGAGCTCTGATCGGGACTTGATGTGTCACGAGCTCTCCCGTCGCAGCCAGCTTCCGGAGGCATCGATCAAACTGCGAGGGCGGCCGCGGAGGACAAGCATTGGCAGGCAGATCCCCCTGTGTGTGAGGCTGGCGAGCGGAGGCCTCCTCTTCTTCCTGTCTCCTCGTGCATCCTCGCTCGTCCTTCCTCCTGCCTCTCCTCCGCCCTCTTTGGAGACCGGCCTGGCAAGCGCCTGTGCCGACAGCATCCGCGCTCCGCGGCAGCCCGCGGCGCTCACCCCAACCCATGCCCCCCACACAGCTATTGGCGCCCCTCCTCTTCTTCCCCCATCTCCCACCTCTGCGTTAGTCTCGCGCTCTCTCTCTCTCTCTCTCTCTCTCGCTCATCCTCTCTCTCTCCATGTCCCCCCCCCCCCTTCCGCCTCTTCGAGTCGCCTGGGGCCTGGCCTGGGCTTCTGGCCCTCGTTTAAAGTTTGTCGGATGTGGACTTCGACGGCTTTTGCGCACTTGGTCCGCGCGTGGCAAAACAGGTCCTTCGTTGCGGGAGTGACGAAGGGTGAGAGGGATGGGGACAGGGAGGGCGGTGACGCAGAGTATCCTCTCTCCTGCCGCCAGCAGCGCGACACAACGTGCATCCTGCATGTTGTTATCAGGCATGCGCGCACACTAAAGACCTCTGCGCATGGCCTTGCAACTTGAACGAGACACAGCCCGCGAGCATCGAGAGCATTCTCCGACACACGACCCGTAAGTCACTCGCGGCTGTGCACCGCCAAACGCAAAAGCAAGAGAGGCTTGAACAATTGTGTAAGTATCACTGTCGCTCACTCGGCGCCGAGGTTTCCCCGCACTGGTCCCCGATCTTTTTGAAAAGGGCATGTTTTGCACACTAGGGCTCCTGGACTGGCTAAAGTCGAGCGACCCGCGAGCGGCGCAAATCTGACATTGGCGAATCAATACGGCCGGAGCGAGGTGTAAGATCGAGCTCGGTTCGGGGAGGGTGCCTTCATGTTCTTCGTGCTTGTTGGATGGTCTTCTGCATCCTGCGGAGGGCACCCTTGGATGGTCCTCGTGTTTTGGCCAGCGGAGAACCTCATGTTCTTGAGGGATGTTCTTCTGTCCTAGGTTCGATGGTAGCTTTATGCCATTTTCGGCCTCCTGGGGCCCTTGCCAGGCCCCTGGGCTGCCAAAAAACGACTCTGGGTGCATAGCCGGCATTGGTCGAAGGGTCGGGCGTTCGGGACCCCGCATCGAACATGATCGGCCCACGAACCCGGAAATGGATTTAGAATTGCGAGGCACGGAAACGTTTGACGGCTGTTTTTCTGTCCTAGGTCCGACTGCAACTGGACGAGAGGTCGATCGAAGGACGGGGAGGCGAGAAGCGCAAGTGTCCAGGCGCTGGCAGGGGCACTCCAGAAGCGCAGTCCCCGCCGCGGGAGAACGGGGGACACGAGTGCAGATTTCGCCTCCGCCTCGTCGCGTGCAACAGGCATCGGCTGGTTGCACACGCGGGTCGATGAGAGCAGGTACTTGTGGATTCACAGGTCCCAGTCCACTTCAAGCGCATCTCTGCTTCAAGAATCGATGTGTTGTTGTTGTTGTTGTTGTTGTTGTTGTTGTTGTTGTTGTTGTTGTTGTTGTTGTTGTTGTTGTTGTTGTTGTTGTTGTTGTTGTTGTTGTTGTTGTTGTTGTTGTTGTTGTCGTTGTTGCTGCTGCTGCTGCTGCTGCTGTTGCTGTTGTTGTTGTTGTTGAACACTATTTCTTCTTAAGAATAATTATTGTTGGGACCCCTGGTGCACGACCCCCCCGCCGCGCCTAGGCCGCAGCCTCATTTTCATCATTTTCGTGAGGAAGTCTCAGGCAAAACGGGGGAGTCCGGATCCGGTTGTGTTGTTACGATCGGTTTTCCCTTGCAAAAAATAAGCTAAAGTGGACATTTCTTGTTCTAACATAACCAAACTTCAAGAATCCCTTGCAAAAAATAAGGTAAAGTGGACATTCGCGCGCGCAAGACGAAATCCTTCCAAAACCTTAGTGTTCGTAGCGATTTTAACATAAAAACATCAAAAAACCAATGGTTTTTCAACAAAAAATGTCAAAATCTCATCCCGCGCGCTCTTGCGGATTCGTAGGAAACCCAACACTTTTTAAACATTTCTGTCAAACGGGCTTTTGCGAGCAACTTTTTCGAACTTCTGCAACAACGGTTGCGCACCTGCCAGGGCCATCATCCCTGTCAAATAATACCATGCGGGACACATTCGTTTTTTCTTCGCGCGCGCACGCCGTCGTCGTCGGCCGCGGGGCCCTGAATAGTAGCCACGGTCGTCCGCATGCCACGAAGTGAAGTGTCCGAACGTCATAGGGCGGGAAGCTGGGTGTGGGTGGTGGCGAAGAGTCGTTTGGAAATTTGGTAGAGCTTGAACCGGCCCCCCCACAAAGTGGGGGTATTGCCCGCCTCCTATGAAAACCCTGGCACTGGTGAGAACGGAGTGTCCCCACGTGCTAGTAATTGTTGTTGTTGTTGTTGTTGTTGTTGTTGTTGTTGTTGCTGCTGCTGCTGCTGCTGCTGCTGCTGCTGCTGCTGCTGTTGTTGTTGTTGTTGTTGTTGTGCTTTGTTATTCTCTGGGAGGGCCTGAGCTCAATCTGCTTGATCCGCCTTCCTACTTCCATGCTTTTGCCGACTTCTTCTGACCGGCGGGTACAGGCCCAGCTAGAACTATTCTCGGGCGCCCCCAGGGGCCCACTGCTTTCTGGGGCGCCGTGCGAGGCTTCACCTCGACGGCAGGTGTGGCATTGAGCCGGTTGCCGCGAGCTTCTGCTGTGCCCGTGCCCCTTCCCCGGATCCTCCTCCGTCAAACTTGCCCGCCGGAGCTCTCCCAGAGCGCACGTTGACCGGGTGCTCGAGGCCGATCCAGCAGTGGCGACGCGGGCGCCCAAGGATGCCAACTAGTTTCCACAGACGTCCAACGTCGACGTTCGCGGAGAGGGAGGGGACGGAGCAAAATGGGAGGACGCGTATCCCTTCTTTGCCTTATCCTCAATCCCGTCGTCCTCCCTGTCCTCGTCGTCGTCGTCGTCGTCGCTCTCTTTCTCCTTCCCCTCTTCCTCTTCCCCAGAGGTCCCAGGATGCTTCCAGAGGCGCCTGGAGGCGCAGACACAATGGCACAGAAGCGGGCAAAATCTCCCCCAAGCCTCGATTCATTCTAGCTTCTCAGTCCTGCTCCTACCCCTCCTCAGCCAACCGAGGTGGCGCAGTGGTCCCTCACGCTCTGAGACCTGCTAGCGGGGGACCCTCGCGATGCCAGCCCACGCAAGAAAAGGTTCTCCTCCTCGCGGCACAGGAAGGAGCCCATGAAAACTTGTCCCATTCCTCTCCCTCCTCGTCCTTGTCTCCCTCCTCCTCGTCCTTTTCCCGTGTTCTGATGCACCGCTGCCCTGCGTGTTTGTGTTAGCCCGTCGTTGATGGGAACACCGTCGAGTCTTGTCTCCTCCTCCTCCTCTTCCTCCTCCTCCTCCTCATCCTCCTCTTCGTCCTCCTCTTCGTCACCGTCGTCGTCCTCCTCCTTCTCATCCTCCTCCTCCTCTTCGTCCTCCTCCTCCTCCTTCTCCTCCTATTCGTCCTTCTCCTCTTCGTCCTCCTCTTCGTAATTTTCTCCTTTTTCCCATTACCCTGACATCCAGGGACCGTGAAGGAAGTCACGATGGTAAGCTTCGCCCTGCCTCGGGCTGTGGAACCTCAATGATTGATCCACAAACAGATGGGTTCTGGAGCTCTGGCTACGATTACTGTGAAGAAAGCCTTGCGGCCCCCTGCCCCTGGACCCTGGGGTCCCCATCAAGGGACCCTGGGGCCGGGGCCAGGGCCGGAAACAGGGCGCCCCCCCCTCCCCCCCCCACAGGGGGAACCCCTGCCCGTCCCCCCTTGTGGGGGTCTCCAGCTGTAACTACTCCGCAACGCTTTGGTTATGCCAGACGTCGGGATTCAAGGGCGTGTAACGGAGGGCGGTAAATGGGGGGGCGGCGAGGGCTGCAGAAACGGAACCCTTTAGGACCTAACTTCAGGTCTTAGGCCCGTGAAGGGCACCTTTCTTCCCCCCCATCCTCTATCGCCCCCCGTTAATTCGCGCCCAACCTCCTTGAGGGAACAAAGGGTGGAGGGGTATAGGTGGAGGATCGAATCGGCCATCCTGGAAGGAAGGGTCGAAGCTCTGTCTGCCGCCCGAATTCCGCACCCCATGGGCGTGACAGTCGGGAGGGATAGAGGGATGAGGAAAGGGAGGAGCGGGAGTGGGGGAGGAGGAGGCGGGGAGGGAGGATAAGGAGGATGAGGCGGAGAGAGGGAGGGGAGAGAGGGAGGAGGAGGATGATGATGATGAGGAGGAGGAGGAGGAGGAAGAAGAAGAAGAGGAAGAGGAGGAGGAGGAGGAGGAGGTGGAGGAGGAGGATGGTGGGCGGCAATCGAAGACTCCTCACACCATCAGGAATCAGTGATCAGGCGGAGGAGGAGGAGGAGGAGGAGGAGGAGAGGGAGGAGGAGGAGGAGGAGGACCGAATGAGCAAATGAGCAGGAGGACGCAGTGTTCGAGCCTACAAAGTTCCAAAAGGGAGACTTCATGAACAAAGGACGGCCCCAGGCGCGACGGGGCGCCCATGCCAACACACGTCCCCTGTCTTGGACAAACTCGCCTCAGGTGAGCATTTGTACCCAATCCGTAGCTGTTTTGGCTCCAGCCATCTGATCAAGTCGAGCAGAGAGAGGTCTGCGTTCCACAGTAGTCATCGGATGCCGCGGTGGTTCGCACTGGCGATTGCGCTTACTGGCGCTGCGGCCTCGTCGGCCGACGGTTAGGTCACCACCTCGGCCGCTTCTGTCGCCGCTTCTGCAGGGGCTGCATCACACAATTCGTGCCCAAGGTTGTCCTTGTCACGACCGTCCCCCTGGAGCTGTCGCTCTGGCATGAGAGGCTGCCGCTGGAGGAGTCGCTGCCCTTCCCTGCGGGCGGCAGTCGGGCTCGGCTAGAGCAGAGAACTGGGGGAGTCTTCGCCGTGGTCACAGGCATGGGCCCACAGAACGCTTCGCTCTCCCTTACCGCCCTGGGCCACGACGCGCGCTTCGATCTGAGGCAGGCTCACCAGCTTCTCGCGGGCATCACGGATTTCGACCCGAGCCTCCGTTGGCAGCGCCGCCTGGGCGAGGCACTTCGTCGAATGGGATAGGTCCCGCTTCATCGATCCTCGCGAGATGCCATCGGACTGGCCGACGGGCTGGCATCTGCTTGTCTTCTGGAGCGACGAGCCCTACATACGGCTCCTCATTGCCCAATCTCCAGAGGGCCACCAATTCATGCCGCGCCTTCCAGCTTTCTCCCGATCTTGTCACCTGGTCCTTCGAGACCTCGCGCTGGCCCACAGCGAGGACGCGGCGCGCAGAGGCGCCAAGCACGCATCGCAGCACCCCGCCGCCGGCAGGCCCTCCGTGATCCGGGCCGCCCACTGCGAGGGGTCGCGAGTGCCGCACGGGCGCCGCGGCGCCTCGCGGCCGCGGGCCGCGCCGCAGCCCCGGACGGAGGGGAAGCTCTCGGTGCCGATGCCCGCCAGCAGCCCTGCCTCGGCATCGCTCGGACGTGTGCATTTCTCCTTCGGCGGGGACCATCGAGGAGCAGCCTCGATCATTTGGCGAAAAAAAGCCACGCACGGAAACGAAAGAAGCACAGGGAATGGACGTCCGAGCGATGGCCAGTTGCCCAGCCGCCTCCCGGCCACGAAACCCGCCACCTGCGCGACGCCGCTGCCGACCTCGGTGGCGGCCGCGGCCGCAGATGCCGCGTCGCCGGGCACGCCACCCCGGCAGCTCCCCGCCGTCCCGAGGGCGCTCTCTCCGCGTCGGCGGCAGCGAGTCGGCACCCGAGCGGGTGGCTGACGGCGCCGTGGGGGCGAGATCAGCAATCACCACATCCAGGCGGACACCCTGCACTTCATGCAGGGGCCCCGCCAGCCTCGCTGCGGCCCCGAGTCAGCCTGCACCGCCGCCGAAGGGGAGGCCTCGCCGCTATCCGCGAAGGGTGCGGCTGCCATCCCCGCCGTTGACGCCGTTGACAACGTCGCCTCGCTGCTGAGCACGAGGAGAGCAGCCGCAAAGGCGGGGCCGAGCGCGCCAACACGTCCAGACGACGTGTTCTCCAGCGTCGTCGACAATACTACGCAGTCGGCTGCGTTATGCTCTCTTGTTCGGTTTCACGGATATTCGCATTAGTGGCCCCTAGGGAGCTCCACCGAAGGCCCCAGTGACATGGTCCGCATGCCGCCCCTTTGTGCACACCCGTCACACGTTTCGCGGCCCCACTGGCCCCAGTGGCATGGTTCGCATGGCCCCCCCCCGTTCTGGCACACCCCTCCAACGTTTCGTGGCCCCACATGGAGCTCCACCGAAGTCCGCAGTGGCATGGTTCGCATGCCGCCCCCCGTCCACTTTGGCACGCCGGCACGCCCGTCACACGCTTCGTGGCCGCATAGGGAGCCCCGCCGAAGGCTCCAGTGGGATGGTTTGCATGCCCCCCCCTCCACTTTTGCACGCCCATCGCAGGATCCGTGGCCCCACGGGGAGCTCCACCGAAGGCTCCAGTGGGAAAGTTCGCAGGCGGCCCCCCTCCACTTTGGCGCACCCCGCATGCGCTTCGTGGCCCCATAGGGAACTCCACCGAAAGCCCCAGCGGCAGCGCCCGCATGGCGACCCCGCCCCATTGCGGCGGCGCGCCCGCTTCGTGCCCATAGGGGGCTCCACCGAAGGCAGTTCTCACAACGACGGTATTCACATCTGCATATGGTTGGGCCCTTCGCCAGGACACTCCTCGATATGAGCTCCCCAACACGAGGATTTGAAAATCTTCGACATCTGAAAGGTCTGATTTGTTCCTTTTCGCAACCGTCATGTGGTGTTGGGTCCTCTTTCAGGACCCGCTCCTCTCCTCTCCTCTCCTCCTCCTCCTCCTCCCCCTCCTCCCTCTTCCTTCTTGCCGTTGCCTTCCGCACAAGTCAACCATTTCGGCACACCCCTTCACACGTTCTCGTGGACCCATACGGGGGCTCCACTTAAGGCCACCGCGGGAGGGTTTGCATGGCAACGCCGAACTATTCGTGGCCCCGTAGGGAGTTCCGCTTAAGGCCTCCTCAGTGGGAGGATTCGCATGGCACCGCCGCCCATGTCGGCACACCCGTCACACGTTTCGTGGCCCCATAGGGAGTTCTATCTGAGGCCCCAGTGGGAGGGTTCGGATGGCACCGCCGCCCCATTTTGGCGCAATGGCATCACTGCCCCATTTTGGCGCGCCCCTCGCACGCTTCGTGGCCCCATTGGGAGCTCCACGTAAGGCCCCAGTGGAAACCGCCGCCGCATGTCGGCACACCCCTCACACGCTTCGTGGC